AAATTCTACTTTACAAATCACAAGACATATTCAGACTAAATAGATTATGCACACACAAAAAACTAAAAGAATAAATGCATGTTAAAGTGACACATCTGGAGGGAAAATAATCACTCTGACTTCCAAACTCAGATTCTCGAATCATTACAGCTGAAAGCGTGTAAAAAAATTACAGGGGGAACAAACTGTCCAGTAAAGCTGTTCTTGGGTTATGCTAGCTAATAGTGTTTGAGCTACAGCATTACTGGCCTTTAAACACAGAGCAGATGTGCGACGTCAAGCATGGCCTGATCAAAGAAAGCAGAACGGGACAGATACATAGTCAAATGATGATGAATGGCTCTCCGCTGAATTGTAAGGAGTGTACAAATGTATCGAAATGCAAGAGAGAGAGAGAGAGACATAGTGGGACAGCGAAACAGAGACATGCCAGGATCAGGAACAAGAGACAAATCTTAAAGTTTGTCAGGAAGATTCTGAGCAGGAGCTGATGCGATTAAGTTCCCACAGAGAGGATCTAACTTTTGGACAATGTGTAATTGATTTCACTTACGGATCAGACATCAGTAGCCTCAGTCCCAGAGCGCATCTACATAGTAACTCATACTAACTCAACATTTTCACATCCACTCACGTACGCTAATGCAGACCAGGACAGGAGTTTGCCCCGGTCCCAGGCAAGCCGATGACATCATCACGGAACATATTTCTTACCTTTATCTTTTAAGCGATGTGTTATCCATGTGTTGGCTGATGCTGGAAAAGATCAAAGGCATAACTGTGTTCTGGCGAAACGGGAAAATTGAAACATGACTTCTCGGCAGAGGAATAATACGTTTATTTGAAGATGAATTGCCTTACATGTCTGACCCAAACACTTTTAGAGCAAGAGCCGAACTTTTCCCAGGTACATGATTAAAGCGATAGGATAACACATGTTTGGTTCGTTGAGAAAATCCTTTTTAAGAAGTTTGATGATGGGTTTGCATTTGTGCTCTCGCTGGAACATCTCCTTTTCCCATTGATGGGTTGGTGGTGAGTGTCACGGTTGGATTAGAAGCAGACAGTAGGACACATGTTTGCGCCTTTGGTAACGAACTGTGACCACGCATCTCGCTCTCTTTTTTCTCTTGAGGTAGACTCTGCCCTCTCAACAGGGCCGTTACAGGGCCAGGCAGCAGGGGGGCGCTGTGATAATTTGATGTGAACTGGCTTGATAAATCACCCCTCCATTACTCTGTCTTTAGTATCTGTTTATGCCTCTACAAATTGAAACCCCACTGGCACAGGCCTGCCTGGCTGCGGTTCTCCGGCCTCCTCTCGATTAGTTCAAGGTGGGGGGAGAGTTTGGACAGGCTGCTCCCTCCACCACCTCCCCCTTCTGTTTTGTCTGTTCCCGCTGAGGCAAAGAGGAGTAGACATGTGTAAGCAATAAGACCGAAGGGTCCGTGTCTACCACAGGCTGAGCGGGAGGAATGCAGAACCAAACTATAAAATAATAACGTAAGGAAGGAGGCGAGTGGGCCATCTGCACGCAGCTGACCCGGGATTGGCGGTAAAAGCACGGGCGGCTCACCTGTGAGCGGAGCGGCTTGTTCACTTCAACCTGGCATCACTTCAAAGAACCGAGCTGTAGAAGCCAAAGGGCAGCTTGACCTGGGCGCTAAGCTCCCTCTAAGCCTCTTAATGCTGGAGGGAGGTGAAAAGTGAGCGCGAGAGGGAGAGGGAACAGAGTAAGAATCATAGTAAGTCACTGGAACACCCTGCCCCGGTTCAACCAGAGATGCACAAAGTCAGAGGAAGTGACAGAAATGAATGTGGACAGTAAATATGGCTTCACAAAAGTCAGGGGAGATAAAGTGTACTACCCGTGCGTGGTTATCACACACTAGGGCCTCTTTCATGTACGACTACTAAAATCAACATCCCCTAAGCCTTTTTAAACCAGGTTTTCATAATCACTAAAAATAAACTACAATCAGTATGCAAAGACAGACAGTTTAAGTCCTGAGGCATTTATCTGCCTTTAAACATTTTTCTTTAGAAGCTACTGACTTATCAGCGGCTTGTCAACACGCTGACACCATTCTTTCAAATGAGACACAGGAGCACTGATCACAGCCTACAGCAGCTCTGTCTGCTCAGGAGAAGTCAGATTTGATCAAAAGGCCATTTCGGCACGCCACATCCTTCCACAAATAAGCAGCAACCATCAGACGCTCTCGCTCAACCCAGCTGCAAACCTGCAGTCTACAATTAACATAAAGGGTGAGAAGCAGCTCCAGGTAAACTCATCCATGTAAACTAGACATGAATGGTTGACTGGACGGAGGCAGATCTGAACGAGAGGGTAAGCCTCACTCTCTTGGCCTCAAGAGGTGCATTAGCGACTGATGCTACAGCCTGCCATATTTAACATCCTAGCGTACCTCTCTCCCCTTTCAAATAGGGGTTGGAGAAAAAAATGATTTATGGTTGCATCAAAAAATTTTTCTCCAACGATTTTTAATCAATTGGCTAAAGTTTTAAATAGTGACTCCCAGAATCAGATTAAATCGAAAGGTATTGGATGGATGAATATGCATATAGGTAACAGATCAGGTGAATTTTCAAATGTTTAACTTTGGAATACCACTAGGAATGCACCAATCCCGATTCTTGGGTCGGATATCTTGTGGATACCGCATATTTTTGCTGGATTGGGTATCGGCCAGCTGGTACCAATCCAAATTCGATCTTGTGCGTGCGCTATATTCTGTATATTTTGTAAGCCAGCAAAAGTTATGAAGGTAGCCTCTAAGGCACTAGAAAATTGTCCTGTATGCCTACTATATCCCAAATGTTCTGAAGTCATCCTGTAGTTTAATGTGAAGTACAGATGAATATTCAAGTGTTTAAATTTATGTTTAATTAAATGCATGTCAATCGTTCTTCATTCATTCACAATTCACACAGTGTGTCGCATTCATGGAAACATAAAAAACTTTCTCCAAAGCTATTTGCTTCTGTTAATATAAATAATAAATGGAGAAATTATTTAGTTTTGCATTAAATGGGTTCATTTTGACCTGCAACAAGGAGTTCATTACTGTTTCTAAATCATGTTGCGCTGTGTCTGTTAGATCATCAGATCGCATTCGCAAAACTGGAGTAGTGAGGGTTATTACCTGCTCTTCACACACAAAGTAGGCCTACCTGAAATTGTAAATTAGAAAAGGCTCAATAATACATTGGACAGATCCTCAATGCACTCATTTCTTCTCTTTGTGCTGCTCAATTTTGAAAATGTCCGCAGATACTGGAGGGCTGCACGCTGTGTCTAAGTAATGCATCACATGCTTCCTTTATGCTACGTAAATCTATTGTCACAATGAGTTTCTGTTCTCTCATCCTTCCGAGGGTAATTCTTTCAGTGCTGAGAATAGTTTGTAAAGCCTGGCTCATTGTGGTCAAAGTAGTTGATTAAATTAATTATAGTAAAACAGACAGACGCAATATGGTTTGTCATTAACAGAAAAGGAAATGTTTATTAAGTAAAACTGGCCTCAGACAGTTTAGTTTAGTTTGCATCAAACCTGCAGGAAAATATCGTCCTTTGCTAAAAGGCTGGTTATTTTACCAATGATTAGTGTCAATAAAGGTAGCCTATTACAGATTTCCAAAAAAAATCTTAATATTAAAAAAAAAAAGGAAACGTAAGATGGACCACAACAGATCGATGTTATAACGAATGCTCAAATAATGTAGTCTAGTTTACAGCAAGCATCATGTTTTTAGATAGATTGTGTCGTGTCATATATAGTAGGCCTATGGCTCTGTTATTTTTACTAAAGCAGATATAGTACTTGAGTTTATCACCAGAACAATAGAAACTGTATTATGCTTAAAAAAAGACACAGTATCAGGATCGGATTTGTATCAGTCGATACTCAGAAATTTGATATCGGGATGTGATCGGTTCCAAAAAAAAAAAATGGTATCTGTGCATCCCTAGATACCACACCATTAAATTGTTCAGAATAGTAAAAAGAACAACAATATTGATTCAATTTGAAAAATAACAAGACTGAAAAGACGACGCAGTGGCGCAGTAGGTAGTGCTGTAGCCTCACAGCAAGAAGGTCGCTGGTTCGAGCCTCGGCTGAGTCAGTTTCTGTCCAAAACAAAGACATGTGCTATAGGTGAATTAGATAAGCTAAATTGTCCATATTGTATGTGTGAATGAGAGTGTATGAGTGTTTCCCAGTGATGGGTTGCAGCTGCGTAAAACGTATGCTACATAAGTTGGCAGTTCATTACGCTGTGGCTACCCCAGTTTAATTAAGGGACTAAGCCAGAAAGAAAATGAATCAATGAACAAGACTGAAAACTAGCAGGATTTTAGAAGAAGAAAGTGAGAGCTGATAGCAAAGCTGAAGGAAAGGAGGGAGAGAGGCAGAGGGAGAGCAAATTTTTCAAAAGCTAAATGATCTTCTTGAAGGAAACAGACATATCCCAGAATGCAATGGGACAGGAAATACCCACAGAGAATGGTGGACTCCCCCTGGGTCCACATTAGAGGAATGCATGAAATGAATAGTGACATCATGTTGCTTGGTCAACAAATGCGAGTGATTGATGAGGACAAGCGGTCAGAATGATGGCCAGTTGTTGGCTTTCCCTGGGAGCTGCCATTTCCCTCCCATCCCAACTTCCACCCAGTGAAAGGGATATTACTGATCCCGCTCTTTCTCTCTCTTTCCATCCCTGGCTCGTAGACCTCTAGTGGGGATACAATCTTTCATTCTGCCCTGCTGTCTGCTCTGCTTTGTAGACTTGTCTTGGTCTGTTTCTGATCAAAAGTTTGCCCATATATGGGCTAGAAGAATTCTTGAGCATGAAATATTGATTTGTTAAACAAAAAGCGATGTCGCTAACATCCTGAGGGATTTGATTAATGACCCTTCTTACCCGTCTAGTATGACAAAACATATTGTGACTGCTCTGAAAAGAACTCCCATGTGTTGTAACATTTTATTTATCCACTGTAATCATCAAACTTTGATCTGTTATGAAGAACAGACAGTTTCACTGAGGAATTACTAATTGAATTCAAGACAGTACATGAGAAAAGGGAAATCAGCTGGTTGTTAAACCGCTGGACACTGTTTAGAATCACTAAATCTTGCTTAATGGAAAAGCGACAGAGGATCACATGATGCCGGCTTGAGGTCATGTGATCAGGGTGCCTGTTTTGATAGGCAGATGAGAGCACAAGGAGAGGAGACCACAAACTGGGCAGCCATCTGCCACATGCCAACGGACTGAAGAGGCTTCCAGACCTGGAATCAGAGAAGGATGTGGTCAAAAGACATGAGACATGAAGAAAAACATTGGTGTAAAGAACAAACGATGAAAGCGGGAGGAAGAAAGCGAAAAGGAAAGGCATGGTGTTTATAGTCGCCATCTTCTCTTTATTCTCCGCTCTCAATCAGCCCGAGTGCGGGGTAAAAGAGACGTGTCAACTCCCATCAGCTCCAGCTGAAAAAGAAAAAGGAAAACAGGGCCTTGGTTTGAAGTTCAAGGGTTGAGTTATTGCTCAGGTTGTGTAAACAATAGCCATATGCTGTCATATTATTGTACATCAGTGGGTAAAGGATGTCCTCAGATGTTATTTCATGGAAAAATAATGGAAAGCTAACAACACACACACTCTCACATGCTGAGCTCTTGAAACCTGAAGGGAGGATGACTAGTGGTAGCGATCCTCAAGTGGAAGACTTGGCTTTGACATGAAAGTGGTTTCTTGAAGAGCGTATGCAAATACACAGAGCACTGCAAAGTATCCCGCTCAAGGAAAGCCGGTGAGAAACACCATGCCTGGCTCAACCTGTTCTTGAACCTGCTAACTTTTGTGTCACATGCATGAATTGCATGCCTTTGAAATATGGCATGAAATGCAGGTACCGTGACCATGACATGCGCACACAAACATCAAATACTCAAAACACTGAGGGGATTTTGAGGTCATGGATTGTTGGTCTACTGTAAAAAGGAGGGGAAAAGAGTCATTAACCCTGAAACGAGGGAGAGGTGTGTGGGAGAGGCGAGCTATAAGAATAAAACAGAAAATGAGGGTCAGATTAGTCTTCTCTCGGGGGGCCACGCACAATCTCAGGCAAGGATAAAAGGGCTTATTAATAGTTTCTGCTTTTACATGCTCTGAGTGGATGTTTATGTTGGAATTTGCTGCTTATGTGTGAACAGCTAACAACTGTAAACAGTGCCATTCAACTCTCATTTCCCTTACCTCACTGATATTGTTTCAACTCCGTGCTGAGGCGACCACAGTTTGAAAACATCATTTGGGTATTTATCTTTAAAGTGGTTCCACAGTGAGGGTCCCCTGGGGAGGTAATCAAGACAACACACAGGGTCCTTCCTTCTCTGACTTTTTTGTGCCAAGGTTTAGTTTCTGTAAACACAAGCATAGAGACAGACAGACAAACAGACAAAAATGTAGATTAGCTACTGTAGGAGGTACCAAGGACCATATATCACTGTTTAGTGTTTTTTTAATACTGGATATCTGTTGATACCAGGGCTTGACATTAACACCTGCCAACCCACTAAATGCAGGTAGATTTCACTTGTGGAGGGTTAGACAGCCACCCCCACTAGCCACTTTGACTGGTTAAAGATAATTATGGTGGCTTGTGAAAGCCAACATACTGTTATACTAAATAAACTTATTATTCTTCCTTCTTCTTCTTCTTCTTCTTCTTCTTAGACTAATTTTTATATGCATCTCCCCCTAGACCGCTCATACTGCAACCACTAAACTAACTCCAAACCTCCAAACTGGTCTCTGGTTGTTATATCTCTTCCAATGGATCCGACTTACGGTTTTCCGAAACTGACCCGTAAAATTCGGAAATATACCACTGACTTAACATTAGACCAAATTTTGTGACCTCATAACTTTGCGCCAGACTGTCATACAGACTTAAGGTTGGGCTCATTTAACTCATTTGGGCTCATTTAACAATTGACTACCAATCTGCCAATCACTGACGACCTTTCAATTTACTAGCCACATGGACTTCCCATAGACTTCTATTGTAAAAAATTGTCATTGACTTTACATTGAACATACTAACAACATGCCAATCCATACTAACAACCAATCTATACTAGAAACATACTAACAAACATTCTCATCATACTAGCAACATGCTAATTCATACTATAACCATATAAGCAACATGTTAAATCATACTAGAACCATATTACCTCAACAAATTCCTGGAACACCCTAGCAACCACCTAGCAATGCCTTAACAGTAAAAACACCCTAGCGACGCCTTAGTAACTACCTAGCAACCATTCAGAGCACCCTAGATACAGCCTAGCAACACCTTAGCAACCACTCAGAACACCCTAGCAACCACCTAGCAAAAAACATGTCAATCAGTCACTCGCACACACAGGTGATGTGAAAAAGCATGCACGCTCCTGTTTCCTGATGTGAAGCAACCGTGCCTGCAAGCGCAACTGGTGCGATTGGATCTCTTTGAAATAGACTGGACAAAAATTGATGCTCATGCAACCACAGTCCTTCAGCTTTAAGAGCGACTTTTGCTTTAACCATTCATTGAACAGAATATGGGCCTAACGTTAACCATATGTGCATGACCATCCTTTCATTTACACACAGGGTATGTTTTTCACCTGCTTTATTTTGCTTACAGTTATTTTTTATTTATGGTTTAGTTATTATTTTTACAATAACATTGCTTTAATATGAGATTAACTCCCCATTAATGTGTAGTTAACTGGTGATTTAAGAGGCTTTTAGCAAGGACAGACCACTCTGCATTTTAGTTACATGATAATAATTCTTTTATAACTGTCAATTGTTTTGTTTTTTATTTAAAGAAAGGTTTTGTGGAATAAAAAGTGAATGTATACAGCTTTATTTTTGCTTGTTTTGACATTTTATTTTAAATTCTTGGCTAAGAAATAATTATTTATTTGTGATTGGTGTGGTCAGACATAAATTGGGTAAATCCTTAGTGAAATAAGTGAAATAAAAGTCTAAATCAAGTAATTTTAGTGTATCAAAGTCTAATGTATGCGTATAAAATATAATTTCCCAAGAACAAAATTGTGGCCAGTGAAATTGGTGAGTGGCTAGTAATGATAGAAATCTACTAGCCACAGTGGGTGGTGATCAAAAACGTTAATGCCAAGCCCTGGTTGATATTATTAATATAATATTCAATTCATGTTTATTTTTATAGAGCTTTTGCAAAGTAGATTGTGCCAAAGCAGCTTCACATAGAAGATTGTAGTAAATTGAAACAGTGTCAGTTCAGTTTTCAGTGTTGAAGTTCAGTTTAGTTCAGTGTGATTTAATATTCACTGCTGAGAGTTCAAACACTGAAGAGCCAATCCATCGAGGCACAGCTCCACAGGTCCCTAACCATGCAAGCCAGTGGTGGCAACAGAGAGAAAAAAATTACCATAATAACAATAACAATACCAGTGTAAAATTTAATTTTGTCAATTATAAAGCAATTTATTCTGGTTCTCCAATCTGAATGTCTTTGAAAGCCTTGTCATTTTGCTGGATCAATATTATATTTGTGTCACTGAATGTTGTAGTTGAGTTTTTAAGTGAACAACTAGTTCAAATTTGGTTAATGTATAATAAAAGTTTAAAAAAAATAATGGTGTTTAAATTGTTTAATCATTTAAAATCATAATGTACCATACCCTTTATATGTTGATCTACTTTCAACTTGTCTACACTTTGTGTCATAATGATTACTTAGCTTAAAAGTAATGAGTGTAATAAGCAGGACAGTATGCAACCAGCCAGGCATTAATGCAAAATATACCCCTTCACCCTTCCACGGTAAGGTCTGGGTTTTTTCTGCAATAACTTGATGGATAAACATTATCTGTTACTTTTTATAGCATAAATGATAGTGGTAGCTGTTTTCAGTTATGTGTCATAACATGCAATTACAATAATTACCAGTTCATGGTACATTCCAGAATTGTAATATCTGGAAATTAGTAAGTAACTAAATAATGATAGAGAAAGTAGGCAACGATTAGCAATAATGAAAATAATACAATCAATAATAATAATATTAATAATACTAATACTAATAATAAATTAACAACTTTTAAGATGTAAGAAATTCAAATCTGTTTGCTTGAGCTATCTTTGAACAGCAGGGAATAACTCTAGACAATTGTGCATGTGTATGTAAAGGCAGGGTTTTACATGTACACACACACAAAATCTCATACTCGTCCAGCCCTTGCTGCTTTTTATTGGACAGATATAAAATTAACAGCAGTCAAGAGCTGAGATGGTGAGTCAGTGCGCCTCAAACACACATTTACAATCGCAGGTCAGCTGTATGCTCCAATAAAACTTTACAGGCCAGCTTAAAGAAGCGCTGCCACTTTACAAGAAACAAACTTTCCTAATTAATCATCAAATTAATAACCTCAGGTCATTTACCACCACACCAGCCGGGTGCAAATTCCTATTAAAAGCAAAACCTGCAACAGCGGCCTAATGGCCATTGACATAAATCAATGAAAAGCTGCAGTGAAATTTTCCCTCGCTGAGCTGACTAATAGAAGAACTGTAAAAAGCACAATGCACGCCCAAGGAGAAGTGACCTAGCTGTGGCGTTAAACTTTTATACTGCCCTACTGCGCTTAGTTTAAAACCACATCAAATAGTGAAAATGGGCAAAAAAACAAAAGGGAGGCAGGTGAGATGACGGCCAGAACAGCTTAAAGGCCTGTGAGCGTTCAGCCCAGGTGGGGGCACTTTCAAATGCACAAATGTGTGTGTTTTAAGGCCCAATTATGTGTTGGACACAAGGAACAGTGTGTTAACAGTTCGGCTGACAAGCTTCTGTCTGACCCGGGTGGAACACAGGTGGCAAAAAAACTGCAATGTAAAACTCCTCGCCAGGCTTGCTCTCTAAAAGATTAATGACATAAAGGATTTGTCCCATCAGTCTTCAAAAGGCGAGTAAAGGTATGCGTTGAATTCTTGATCCCGGCCTATTTATAGCAGGAGTGATAGAAGAAGAGTTGGGGACATTTGTGAAGCCGTCATCATAGCTGGAATTCTTCCTCGGAGCTGATGAAAGAGCAGGAAAGAGGGGACATTGGGCTGCACGGGGGGTGATGGAGCTGCCGTTCGCTGCCAGGATGGGCAGCTGGCTCGCGTCTACAAAGGAAACTGTGGTGGCCATTTTTAGAAGTCTCTTTGAAAAAGCAAAACAAGCCCAAACAGTAAAGAATGAAGAAAAGGCTGGAAAAAAAAGAGGGTCGTCTTGAAGAGCCAGAATAAGCCTTTTGCGCAGACAGAAAGAAAGAAGGTAAACAGAGAGAGCCTGTTTCAGGGACTAATGGGCTTTCATTTCGGGCCGTGTGTTACCAACAGTATGGATTAGAGCTCGGTTTCAGAGATTACCTAAAGGGGGTTTTCTCACTCTAAAGACCCTCAAAGGATAGGCTGTGTTGTGTTGTATAAGGCTGAGGGATATACGTCGACTTGCGTGTGTATTAAATGACGGTCAGTGATCCCCTCTGTGTCTTACAGGTATTCTTATACGTGTGTTTGTGTGTGCTAAGGTGTTGACCTTCCATTAATTAAAAGCGGCCGGCTGAACTCTAGGGACAGAGCAGCTAAACAGCACAAGTCACAGTGCTAATATCAGGCAATTAAACAGGGAGGCATGTGAGTATATGAAACATAGAGAGAAGCAATTAACACGCTCGCGAAACACTACGGAAGCCACTCTGGAAATCGCAGGGCAGTGATCAAGCTGCTTCATATTATAGCTTGGTGTATTTAATAAAAATAGCCAGACTCTATTTATACACTGGGATGGAAACGTTAAAGACATTAAAGATAACAAATAAATACAGTGATTTAAACATTAATATTGAACATTGACTGGCTATGTGTAAATATTTTTATGTGTTTTATCAAAGCTGCAATGGAGTTGAGCTACTGATGTTCTTGTGAAATATAATTGCATTTCAAAATGTTTTAAAAATGTAATTTATTCATGTGATTCAATGCTGAGTTTTCAGCAAGCCATTACTCCAGTCTTTAGTGTTATGTTGAATCATGTACGTTTTGATGAATCATGATTTATGTCAGAACTGTGAAATAGGATTGTCTGATAATTAGAAAGTTCAAAGAGCAGCCTTTATTTAAAATTAAAATCTTGTGTAGCATAGTGCTTATTTTTATGTATCTTTGCTAGATAGAAGTATTTGTTCAAAATATTCATCAAAATATCAATAATCATTTTAGTAGTAAAAAAACTATAAATAGATATCTATTGTAATATACTGATCTTTACTATGTAATTTTGATGTATCTTTGCGGTGGCTCAGTGGTTAGCACTGTCACGTCATGACAAG